TTGAACGAAATTTCCAGCGATAAATAATTGTTATTAATTGCAACAGTTAATCGAGATAATTTTCGATTACATTTACATAATGTAACGACGTGCAATAAGCGGACTTTCTTTACTTCCCGCCCGTTCGAGTTGCGAAGAACGACAGAGCGAATTACAGCGCGAACGCCGAAGTCATACGAATTTCTTTCTTTTTTTGGAATAGATTACACGAAATCGATAGACAATTAAAAGCGCGGTGCGTAAACGAGACGTTACCGCGACAAAGTACCACGGTTTGCATTTATATTTTAGAAGAGTTAGTCTCGTAAAATATCTACGTATACGTTGATAAAGAACCGTCGCCTCAACGTGCAATTCGTTTCTCATTACAAGTTGTAGAAATCTAATAATTAATCGAGGAACGTTACTTGTTACTGATGAAGGTGTGCAAATCAAAAGCGTTTTATCCCTTTATTCATCGCGATCGCGTCTTGGAAACCGATAACGCAAAAGTAATACCACGCACGGAGCGACCCTCGCCACTGCTTGCCGGCTCGACGTTCGGCGAGCGAGTGATAGGCGCGGCGACCTTCGGGTACACGAAGGCGCGCAAAAACATCGTACGTCACCGCGCCGAGAGAAAAACAACAAAAAAACGTTGAGAGTTCGTTGTCCCGCCTACGAAATTGAAAATTCTGTACTTAATATTTTACATTACTTTGTTCCGTGACTGTTGCTACGTTTTGTGAATCATTTCGCGGACTTATTGGTATTGATTAAATGAACGATTAATTCTGTTCAATCGAGAAAATGTTTCGAAACGAAACTCGTTGTTACTTAAATTTTAACTACTAAGATTAGAGATTTACCTCAATAGTTGGTGTATACAAATGTATATTTCTACATTGCAAATCTTCATTTACTATGAATCTAAAAGAGAAACGAAGCACACCGCGCTTTGAGAAAACCAATTGGCATCGCGAAAAAGAGGTCTCGACTGTTCGGTATTAACGACATTCGCGCTGGTAACATCTCCTTTTTAGAAAGGGAAATTGATTTCGCTTCTAGCTTGTTTTATGCGAAGTGTAAATTAGAAATTATAATGTAGAAATTACAAATTATAATTTACATTTTTAACCCGTATAGTCTTGATTATTTCTTAAACATGTATACGACTTTGAAATTATACAAATAACTTAGAAATCTAATCCTTGCTACTTCACATAGAATTCCAAATAAAAAATTGGTAAAATGGGTGAAAGAGAAGAATATCTGCATTTCCGTGTAAAAAATATTACATATTATTAAAATGTATTTTATATCATTTTAACGTATAAAATATTGGATAAAAAATATTAAATATTATTTAAATACATAAAATACAATTTAATAATATGTAACATTTTTTTATACAGAAATTTAGACGTTGTTCTGTTTCATACCTTTTATATTCCATTTTTACATATATAGAGAATACAAAACCAACGCTTCGCGCACGCTATTTATTCTTAAGCACTATATATCTTTCTCAGCAACAACTTGCTAAATTGTTCTTTTTGAAGCAAGCTATTTGATGCACAACCTCTTACATTAATGTGCTATCAAATTATTCAATATTAATTCCGGGTGAATAAAGTTACTTGCGCAGTTATTAGTATTAGTCAAACATCAAATTATATGATTTTAATAACGACAGTTATTTACAGAACGAATTAACAATAAATTAAAACTTATGTAAAAATTCGAGACTAATTATACGTTACAGCTTCCTTCATCCTTCCAATGTAAATCGATATCAAATTCTCTATAATGAACAAATCTACTTGCACTGATTTTAATTTTGTAGTAAACAGTTCTACTGGTTGAATTAATTTCTACACGCTCGTAGGAGAACGCGAGATTATTGAAATATTACTTAAAGATTATATAATTTATATATGACCGCATCGCGCTGAGGATGTTTGAAAACTAAGCTGAAACTTAAGAAATTTTTACTAATTGTAAGATACTAAAGAAAATCGAGTCACACAAAAATAACTGCGCTTTAACTCTCAATGATAACTTTTTATTATTAGTCTATTTCAATATTACTTGTTAGTTTCGCTCTCTTCGCGTCGTATTGCTCGATTCCGAGCGTCGAGATCTCTCTACCTCTAGTACAGATATATGGTACCTATAATTTTACGTCCATTCCGAACGGCTCTGTAGAGGAGTTTCCCTGCACACAGAAAAATATATACTGCCTGCAAGTAAATATTATTTATTCCAAGTATTTGATAAGTTTACATATCCGCAAATCTATCATAATGTCGTCGCAAGTGTTATATTTACTCAAAACATATTCTGGTTCTTAGTAAGTCTAGTACTTCAAACAAGAATACATAGAATTATTTGAAGCAAAACAATTTTGTTTCTTCTGATTTTATTAAAAGAAATTTATTAAAAGAAAAGAAGCATACGGAATTCTTCAATAAGTTTTATAATTTTCTTCAAAGAAGAATAAATTCTTTCTTTGAGTATAAGATGGCAAGCTTTTCTAAGACTAGTAACAAGTATATCCGGGGGGGAAACCGCTGACCAAAATCTTATACACCAATGCCCACTAATGCCCAGTGGGTATTGCTTTATCTTATTATCTTCTTTTATCTTATTTATCTTGTTTTATCTTATTTTATCTTTATAATGCCTCAGCAAGACGTAATGCCCCAAAAATGCCCTAATAATGCCCAGTAATGCCACAAATCTGTACACCACAATGCCCTCAGCGGTTTCCTCCTCGAGTATATCTTAAAACTATTACTATTCAGAAAATATTCTTTGTTGAAGCGAACTATTACTTAAACGGAATAAATTAAACTGAGTAATTACTTTTCTTGACTGTGCAATAATATTTTTCTGTGTGTGGCAAATATACTCACGGTGGGTTGCCTCTTCCTTTCGAGAAGTGGCGATGGAATAAAAACCGACGACTTCTAGTCGGATTTGAACTCGGGACTCTGAGGGGAACTCACTAGAGCAGCGCTAACTTTCTACGCCACGATCACCACACAAATGTTAGTTTACAGGTGTTAGTTCACGGGTGTAATATATACGATATTCTTTTTCATAAAATCTAGATTTTCAAAGCCATAACTCTTCCGTAACGTAGCGTTTTATAAATGATGCTCAAACGAAATAACAGCAACTGAAGATAATGTTGTACACAGAAACGACATAAATTTTCGATATTTCTGACAAAACGCATGAACGTTCAACGTTTCACACAGAGCTCATTGCTCACATGACACGTTAAAAACAATTTACATTGTCCACATATATATGCAGATTATTGTGTTTTACGCCCATTAACTGACCCTGGTTCAAATATTTGGGTTTGGTATTAAAAAAAATTATCGATAGTCGGTAGGTTGGAAATGTTAATTCTTCGATTATCTCGTGGGTCTCCCTTAGATAATCACGAAAGTGACGGAAATATTCAAAGATTTGAGAGTGGTATTTTATCAAGGTTGTGACTCAACAAAGGCAGTCCCTTTCCTATCTCCCTCAGCTTCCAAGCTCGTCGCTCAAAAGATCACTATCTATTTCCCTACATTTACTATTATTGCTTTTTATTGCATTAATTTGTACTTGTGGCTTTTGTGTACAGACCGACAGTGTCTCACTATGCAGATTACGTCAAAGAACAGCATGATATCATTGAAATTAAGTTTAGGAGCTTAACAAGAAGTCTATTCACTCGAAACTTAATTTCAATGATACCGTGCTGTTCTCTGATTTAGTCCGAATAGTGGAACACTGTCGGTTCATACACAAGAGCCACATAATTTCTATATTACATAAATGTTTTCACGAATTCGCAGTTCTAAAAGTAAAAGGTGCCGAAAGTGCATGAATCACTCCAGCATCCCCTTAATTTGATTTTCAACATCAGCTGTTTATTCGCGCTCCTGAGCAATCCACGCACACGTGCACAACGGGTTGTGGTGGCGCAGGCAAAAGCTCGCGAGGCAATTTCCGCGTAACATCAACTCTAATCGCGCGCGCGCGCGGTTCTCCTCCTAGTCGATTGATCCCTTTCACGTGCGGGGAGGGAAGCGCTCGCGAAAATGGGGAGGCGCGGCGAAATTTATCGTTTATCACACCGAGCCGCGCTGCTCAATAATGCACGGCCGAGTGCGCCGCTGCCTGGGTTTTAACCCGCTCGTTTCGGGCGCCAGAAGTGGATGAACGGCGGAACGTTTCGGCGGATCGAATACCCTTACCTAAAGTACCCGCGGGCGTTTCTACTTCAAACGCGCTCCTCTCGCCGAGAAGAGCCTCCCCTCGATCCGATTAAACGAAACCGGTTCGCAATGAGACCTCTCCAACTTACGGATCTATTTGCGTGGGAAGCCATTTTTTTTTTCAAGTTTACGCTTTTGCGGGAATACACGCGGTTTACATTTTTACCTTTCAACCGTTAGGTCACTATATATCAGCGTGATATATTTCTAAAAATTTCTTGAAATTCATATGCTTAATCGCGGTTAAACACGGAATCCAAAACTAGAGGCTTTAACTACTTCAAGCGCTGAATCTAAGGCTTAGAGTTTAAATCTCTATTGTAGATGGACACTAAAAGACGACGTAAAGCTATCTTAAAGACGTCTTTTAGACAATCAAGGGCCGGAATCGAACCGATACCATCATAACTAACCTCGTATTAGCACCGAGCTACGCGTCATTCCTTGCATCGGAAAGTGCAGGCGCGCGGAGAACAAAACTGTCTTTTACGTCGCGCCCAACCGTATCCGTGCACGTGGGTACATTCTCCACGCGTTTACCTCGCGAGTCTCGAGCGCACCGCGCGCCCGACGTTTTAACTCGCGCCGGGACTCGCGGAGTCGCGGGGACGAGGCGGCATCCGCGCAATAAACGGCGGCGTATCGCGCGAGCGAGCGCGACGGGGAATCGGCGGCGGCGGCGGCGGCGGCGGCGGCGGAGGCGGCGCGCGCGCGCGCACAAGAGAGAGAGGGAAAGAGAGGGAGCGGGACGGAGGGTACAGTGCCGCGATGTGGGACAGTTGTGATGAGAGCGAGTGCGGGGAGTTCGATTCGACGAGGACGACGACTAATCGCGCGCGGCCAGAGATGTTCGAGCCCACGGAGCAGGGAAAGGTGAGCGGGACTGCCCGGTTTTTTTTCTCTCGCGCGACGCAACGTCACCGAGCGACGGCGGAGGACGGTGCGCGCCGTGCCGTGCCGCGCCGCGCCGGGCCGGGCCAGGCCGGGGCGCGTTCGTTGACGCGCTTTTCGCCTGCGACTCTCGCACGGGATGACGTTCGCCCCGACGACGAGTGCACCCGCCCACATGTACGGCCGCGCGCGCGTCGCCTCCGACTCCGCGGGCGACGTTAATTCCGCGGGGACGCTCCGCGAGCGGTGGCCGCGCGACGTCCCCGGACCGATTAACCGTGACCGAGAATATCCGGCGGTCGATCCGATCGACGGGCTCGCTCTCGGAAGCTTTTTCTCACTGGCCGGAGAGGTTAGGTTCGCGACTCGGACTCATGCGTCCCGTCGACGGTCGTCCTCGGCCTGTCGCCGCGGGAATCGGTCGCGTCGGTAACCTCCCGCCGCGCGTCCAAGTTGGGAATGCAATTTTACGTTTGGTATATCTGTAATTCGCCGCTGTCTTTGATTAGATCTAGCGGTAACTCGCATTGAGGGGCTCCGTACCTGTGTTTCTACCTTTAGAGATGTATCCCTTGCGAGTCATTAATTCCGTTGTTGCTAGGATCTCTGCATCCACACGGGCGTTGTACTTCGTGGAGCGAGTGCCAGGGAAGACGAGGTCCACAGTTCAGGGACGCTTAATATCGTGGAATACGTAAGATTCTGTTGTCGCAGTCAACATTATATGCGCATGTTATATGCAGACATGTAAGAGGTTTGTTTATCACAGAGTTTCGGCAAGTGCATAGAATGGAAGCCCGTGGAAGACTCCGTGGTGTCGGAGTGTCAAGATCAAGATCCAGAATGGTCCTTGGTGGATACGCACACGAGGAGGACTCGCACAAACTCGGAGGGTCCAGACTCCCTTGGACGTACGAGAACCGTTAAAATACTGTTCTCCGACTTGAAGTCATTTCGCGTGAATCACGGCGGGCAGCAGCTCATATTCATGCAGAGGGATGGTACCACCTACGTTGCCTTCTTTCAGCTGGCCAACGCTGAAAGCTTTGTCAATTCGCTGAAGGGATTTATCAAATTTGTAAAATCACGTTCGGACAGGAATTTATACCTGGTGCTGGATGAGGTTGAGACCGTATTGAAGAAATCCTTCGCCGAGTTGGATCTGTTTCAAGAGAACACGTCTGATTACGTGTGGAAGTTTGTGAAAAACTTACACAATCGTCCCTACGAGACAACAATGGAGGCATTCAGCAAGCTCGCGGACATCTGGTGTAAGAGGATAGATTAATGACCCGTAGTCAATACGTCAATTCATTATCATGTCCGTGAACATGGATGCTTTTGTCTGATGGCGCTTATTAGTTTAGCAAAATCTTATATTAGTAGCCTACCTCATAATACGGGTCTCTCCTCCATGTATATTTATTATTAACGTTGCAGTGTATAAAGAGCCAGTTAAGAGACCCGTTGAAGAAGCAGTTGCCGATTTATTAAATCAGTCTCTCACAATCGATCCTCATCCGCGTGTATCTGTATCTATAGGATCCGGAGAAGAGTACGAAGTGATCGGAGTTGGAGTGGACCTACCTCCACGACCACCATGTCCGCGCGGTAATTAATGTATAAATTAAAAAATTATTCTGTAACAGATTGACTATTGTTGATTGCATATATGTATTTTTATGCTGAAACAAAAATTATAATCTTCTCAGGTGCGCCGTTGACACAAGAGCAGTGGGAGAAATGTAAAGATCGAGAAGGAAGAATCGCTAATCCCGAGGCTGTCAAAGAAATTATCTTTCGAGGGGTACATGTCCAAGTATTTTTCCATTGATGATATTCTACATATGTCGTAAAATATAATTCTGATATATCTGTGATAATTCATACAGGGTATTAATCCATCGTTGCGTTTTGAAGTATGGAAATTTTTATTGAATTATTACCCGTGGAAGTCGACACATAATGAAAGATTAGAACTTAAGAGGAAAAAGACTGACGAGTATTTCACAATGAAATTGCAATGGCGTACTTTCACAACTGCGCAAGAGAGTCGGTTTTCCGATTATAGGGAACGAAAAAGTTTGATAGGTAAAGCAGTAAAACTATTTTTCTAGGAGCAGTTACGGGCTTTCACGTTTTGAACTGAGATTAAAAAATTTTTTGGTGTTATTTCAGAAAAGGATGTCAACAGGACAGACAGAACACATCCTTATTATGCAGGAGATAAGAATCCACACTTGGAGCAATTATACGACATACTCATGACCTACGTAATGTACAATTTCGATTTAGGATACGTTCAGGGTATGAGCGATCTTCTTAGTCCCATCTTGTTTCTAATGGACAATGAGGTAGATGCGTTTTGGTGTTTCGTTGGATTCATGGATAAAGTGGTAAGTGTGCGTTCGTAACGGTGTATTATTGCATAGAGAACTACTGTTACGAGTGCCTGCAACTAACCCTTGTTATTTTAAAACAGAGCACTAATTTCGAGATGGATCAGAAAGGCATGAAAGCGCAGCTGTGCCAGTTTTACACGTTGTTGTGCACTACGGAACCACAGCTGGCATACTATCTGAATAGACATGATTCCGGTAACATGTTCTTTTGTTTTCGATGGTTATTGGTATTATTCAAGCGGGAATTTAGCGCGATCGATATATTAAAATTATGGGAGATCCTATGGACCGATCTACCTTGCAAAAACTTTCATTTGCTCGTATGTGCGGCTATCTTGGACACAGAGAAAAATATCTTAATAGAGAACAATTACGGATTTACGGAAATTTTGAAGGTGAGTTCAAAGCATTTTCCCAGTATAACGATAGAAATTTGTCAAAATCCTCTTACAATGCTATTTACAGCATATAAACGACTTGTCACTTCATATTGAGCTGCCTTGGACAATCTCGAAGGCAGAAGGTATCTATTATCAACTCATGTCCGTGGAGCATCAAATTCCCGATGACATTCGTGTAATTATCGGACTGGAACCACTGCATAAATCATCGTCAACGAATGGGAGCGATGACGAAGCGTCCAGTAATCATGCTCGAGCTAATGGTCCTCGTAACAACTCGAGAAGAAACAGCTCAGGCAGCGCTAATGTTAAATTAGGAGAGGACGAAGTATCTTTCGAACGCGGATTGAATATGTCGTATATGTGAGGTCAGGACTGGACTTTTATAATCATTCACTAACAGAAAACTGATTGAGAATCGGCACGAACGGAGGATAACAAGAGTCCGTTGCAATCTTGACATCTGCAAACAGGAATATTATATATTATCTTATAGTTTGAAAATATAGCTAATCTTAATTTTAAACATATTATTGACAATAATTTCCGTGTGGCTTTCAACAAAATTAATAGCATTTTCTGCTGGGAAAACTATCTCTAAAAATAGTAGAACAAAAACTAAGTGCAATTTGGTGCATCACTGTTTTTAATGCAGCATTAAACATTGGAAATATATAAACTAATTTTTACAATGGAACATTAAAATTGCACTCAGTGTTTCACTACTTTTCCCAGTAGAAAATTTCTATATAAATACTTCGAGGCGAAAACGATAGAAAGCACGTTCCTAAACATACATCGATTAGATTTTTTTTTTAATTGGAGTATGATAGATGCAATTTTTTTACTTTAAACATTGTGATTAATTAGTTGTAATTGAGATTGAAATTCTAAACAGTAGAATGTGAATGTACTTGATACGTTTCGAGAAATAACTAATGGTAGTGTTGAATTTTGAGATATTTATAACACTTACTGCATGTACAGAGACGAACAGGAAGGAACAGATTATAATCGCTGCGCATGCAAAAGTCGTGCAGATATTTTAACGAAACCAGCAAAAACAAACTCGCGACGATTGTGATGCACAATTTCTGCGGACGCGCGAAAACAGATTAAAGACAACATCCTCAGACCTCGATAAGTGTTATATACACGTAACTTTTACCTAAGTTACAGTCTCTTTTCTAGATTTGTATAAAGCTTCACGATATTACTGTACATTTCTAATAAAAATCACCTATTTAATCTTTCATATATTTCTGACGTGTAGTTTTTTCTCTCTCTTAGTTATTGTCTATAAAATAATTCAGACCATTTCGTGTATTATTTCGCGCCTTTTACCGAGAAACAGCCAACAAATGATACTCGAAGCGACGAGAGATTCAATGCAACGATACGTCCGGAAGTACCGCAATAAAGAAATAATTTCAAGTTCGCTAGCGTTTTGATTCTCGGATGTATCTGTGTATGAATCGCGCTAGATATTTGTCTTGTTGGCTAACCGAGCGTAGATGGCAAATCGCGGGGATTCAGCGATCACGCGATGATATCGATCACCAATTATTCACAGAGAGCGATCGCGATTTCTTCCCGTACTTGTCGCGAACGCGTATCAAGAAAGAATAATACGATATGCAGAGCGATTTATTCGATTGTCACCGTGTACGATCCCGCGTACGACGTTACCTTATTTCGCCGAGCACCGTAAACCGAGCTTTCATTCAAAGAAATGTGACGTAGCACCGTAAACAACTCTGTCAAAAACCGAGCGCAATCTATTGAGCCTCGTACGATAGTTATTAACATTTATCAATCGCGTTTAAGTAATTGATTCGTAATCGTATTTCTACGGCGATTTGTCGAGATGAATATCACGCATAATTGGAAGAGAAAACGCGAGGAATTACATATATAAATTATTAGTTAGTTTCGATACCTGCATCCACGAGCGACGTTATCGTTAAGCCGGTATCACACTAGCAACTGCCGACGACAACCCGACTGACGATTACGATTGCGATTGGCAATTCGTCAATCACATTGAATTAAGGATTGGCAATTACGATTGTAGTTGCCATTTTCCACATTGACATTTGTGACAAGTAAAAAAATTATACGATGTATCGTATGCAACAGCGACATTGGCGCAATATGTGTAAGCGACGAAAAATATTTTTTATGTCACAGTGCGAGAATATTTTGGATGATATACATTCCATAAAATTGGTCGATTTTTTATCTCACATATTAAAGTAAGTTCCAGATCTTTTGTCCACATATCTTTTTTTAGACCCGTTGTCACTTACCTGAGCATTAATGTATGCAATGTATGCAGAACTATACAGAACTAAACAAATCATCGTGTGATTCACATACGAACTCTCATTGGCTGCGACTACGATCAGCGACTCGAAAAATAGAAGGCGTCCTAGCTATTATCTAATCGCCAATCGCAATCGCTATAAGTTGTTGTGCTCTGATTGGTGGATTGCCAATTGCAATCGCAATCGCCAGTCGGGTTGTCGTCGGCAGTTGCTAGTGTGATACCGGCTTTACCGACGCAGAATGATAGCCGTTTATCCGTGAAAATCAACGGAGCAGGTACGGCGTACCTCTCACTATTCGTCAAAGTTTTTTCAATGTTTTTCAAAGCCGCGCGCTGCTCGGTAATTGTTTACGTCGAGCCGCCGCGCCGCCGGCGACCGCCGCGCGGTCAGAGGACGTTCGCGCTTCGCAGTATCGTTCGAATCGCCGGCACGTACGCTACGGGGCGACGTGCGTGATCAGTTTCCGCGTAATTAAGTGACTCCACAACCACGCGAACGAGCCGGTCGATTCTGCGGGTGCCGCGGGACGTCGTTTTCGTTACTCGGAAGAGAGAAACTTCGCTATTCGAGATACATCGCGTCGTTGGAAGTGACTCGTGTAGTACTTGCCGCCGTAGTAGCGCCGCGCATTGCCTGCCGGGAACGGCGCCGTGTCGATCCATTGAGGAACGCCGTGGACACGCAGCGTATCGGTCTCGCGTGTTGATCCTCGCATTTCACGGCACGCATAATCGCAGTGAGTTTATCATTGTTCAGTGTGACAATCGCGCGACGTAGACTCGATCCTCGCGCGTCGGTAATACGTCGAGACGCGTAGATGTGGGAAATCCCGGCCGAAATCTCAGGCGCGGTCGGCGTCTCTACACGGCGCCGTCGTATCCTCGGGCGCGAGGAGTACACCGAGTTCTCCAAGTTTAATTCGTATCTTCCTCGCGCGTGCGGTGAATCCGAGCTTTCCACGCGTGATGCGCGGCGAGAGAAATGGCAGAGAACAATCCGTGAACGCTTAAGACTGTCTCAGTCGTAGACGTAGGGCAAGGCGGGGAGAAACGTAAGTCGTATACAATAGCCTTTCACGACTTACGTTTGTCTCTTGCCTTGCCCCACGTCTACGACTAAGCCAGTCTTAAGCGTTTACGGATATCGTTCTTTGCCACCAGCTAAACGTTCGCGCGAAATCGCCCTGTCGAACGCGACGCGCGTCAAGTTGGCCGCGAGCATCTCCGCGAGTGCTTCCCGCCGGAACGTTCCCGTCATTTCGCGTGACGCCATCTCGTCAGACTCGGCCCGTATTTCCGCGCGCGATTGTCTCTCGTTCTCGTTGCGGAGACGCCCGCGTCGATTAACGCCGGGAGTGCCGTGTCCGTGCCTCACTTCGGTAATTAGCTCCTCTTTCGCGAGTGTCGCGAGTGCCAGTGCGAAATGGAGGAATCTGAGAGGTGGCAGCGGCCCAGGAGGCATCGGGCAACGGCGGAGCAACTTTACGGTAAATATTTTTTATTTCGTAAAGAATTAATCTTCCTCTTGTTTATTTAAATGATTAAAAAATTATTTTCTTTAATATTGGCTTTCTTTAATTCTCCGTTTTAATGTCAACTTTATAATTGTCTGTTGCAGAAGCAACGCAGTCAAACTCCGCTGCTGCGCGTCAGATCGGTGAGTCCAAAACTTTTTATTGAGACAACGAATGCACACACTGTAAAAAATTACATGTAAAATTACAATTAGTATAGTGGGTTAATGGGTGTATATTTACATATGTCAGCAAATTTACTTCTTGTAAGTAAAAGTATATGTAATAAGTAAACTGCTTGCTTTTGATTGTGTAAATTTTACAATTTTTGTAATTTTTTATTGTGTATAAACAAGTATTTACACAACAAAGTAACAAAATGTTTACTCCTTGTTGTGTAAATGCTAACAACAAAAAGTATGTCTGGCCCAACAAAAAGAGACTGGATACGACGAGATAAATAGTCAATATTGGCCACTCAAGATGGAGTATGTAATGTGATAAACCAAATAATTTGATTTCTTTTCATTTGTCAAAATTCGGGTGGGTTATTCTTCTTTATACATATATTCTCGTATATGTATGTATGTGCGAGATTAATTAAATTATATCCTAATCGCGCGCGCAATATAACCACAAATCAGACTTTATATATCGCGTCGCGATTTTACCGAAAGGTTTATAGATTTACCAAGTTAAAACGCGGATAGACAGAAAAATGAATAGGCAGGTTATAGGTATATCAGAATACGGGTAGGTAGGAATTCGGATAGGCAGGGACAGGGGGACATAACTCGATAATTAAAAAGATACAAAATTATAACTGCAATGTAATAACGAATATGACTATATTCATTGTTAATATAAAACATATTATTGCAATGTGTATAATACTAATAAATATAATTATATTTGTTATTACTATATTTTTAATAAAATTGTTAATGAAATTACTATATTTTTTAAAAACTGTAATTTTAATAAACCTATAATTTAGTATAGCATAAATAAAATGTATACTAAATTATATTAAAGTAATTTTTAGGAATATTGTATATTGTAATAGTATTGCAATTTTGCTATATTTATTTTAAATTTTACAATAAAAAATATAGAAATTGCTTAATAATTTTATTACTCAATAATAAAATTACTAAATAACAATAATTTACGACTGGCCAATTTACCAAAGCTAGAGATCCTTTAATCTGGTCATAAGAAAGCACGCTGTGGTTGGTCCGCCATTTTTCGTCAATTTGTGCCAGTTTTATAAAGTAATTATTCAGTTTAGCTTCCTCACCTCCAAAATCGAATGCAAATAGGTTTATTCAACGCGTTTTCGCTCAAAACAAAAGAATCTAGCAGAAAAGAAGTGTTGCTCTGCCCCGCGAGCGCACTTAGGGTCGGTATGACAGATTTCTTAACTAAGAAACCTGTCGGTATGACAGTTAAGACCTCAGTTAAGAAATCTGTCATACCGATGAAATGCAAAGTATTTTCTGCTTTACTAACTGCAGAGTCAGCTAGCACGATATAGCACGTATGTATGTAGACTAACCTTACCGGTGATACGCGGGCCAGACTCTGATCTGATTAGAGCTGGTCTCTAGTGAAATGTAAACAATATAACGCACAACTATCGGGTATGCCCGATTTCCTTCTCACACAAAACAAATTTGACCGCGTGCATGGAATTTGCCATCGCGAAACGGCGCGGAAAGTGTAGGAGGCGGCGCTCGAAGAAACGACTGCGCGAGCGAGTGAAGCGTGAGGTTAGGTCCGCGAGGCATTGGATGGTTTTCCCCGAGTGTAATGTCACCGACGCACGTGGAACACTAATGACGGGCACGATGCAGGCGGACGCTTTCTGGAAGAATTACGCGGTGGCCCAGGAATGGCAGAAGCGGTAGGTTCGCGTACCAGAGATAGACGTGAGTAAGGGTCTTGAGGAAAAACGGTCGTCAAAAGGCACCCTGTCGATTCGCAGGCACAGCATAACCTGGTGGAGATCGCGCTGCGTCGCGCTCGAGCACGAGAATAAACTGCTGCGCGACAAGGTCAGACTCTTGGCTCGATATCGCGGCTATCGCAACACTCAGAAGGACGATTGTCACGTGGAGGATAACAACGACGACGATGGCGATGAAGATGACACTACGGGTGAGAACCGGGCGGAACTCGGTGCGGATAGTAACGAGAATTTCGAGTTCAACGTGACCGAGGACATGTTGAGCTTCTTCGAGACGAGCGAAAGGCATAAGCGGGAGATGCGGCAAAAGCATGGATCTAACCAGCTCAAGAATTCGGATGAGGTACCCTTTGTCGGCGCGGCCGAGAAAGCCCGGGTGAGAAAGGAGGAGGCCGACCAGCTATACGGTGCGGCCAGCTCTGAGATATTGGTGATGGAGACCGCGCTGCAGAGCGCGGTGGAGCGATACGAAGACACTGCGAATCCACAATATTGGCCAAATATTTCTCTCAAACCTTAGGACAATTTTAGTTACTTTGGTGCCCTCTAAATTCAATGTATTCTAAAGATATTTTTAAAATAAACTTCTAAAGTTTTTTTTATAAATTGTGGGACGATGTTGACAAAGTAACGATTCATAATTGCCTCTTCTTTCATCATTACGTTCCAAATTTAACATATCTACGTTGGGGTAGTTGTTTCGCAACAGTGATGCTCGCAAGTTTATTCCAGACGGGAATCAGCACTCTATTAAATGATATATCTTGATGCAATACTGTTCTAAAGAATACACGTACGATTAATACATAATATAAAATAGATTCGAAAGATTATAGATTGAGGCGTTGCCGCCACTTTTCTTACACTACACTCATGTCTACTACATAATTCTTCCCATTTTTCAGTTTTAACCGTTTATATTGTTAAAACGGAACGGTCAATAATTTTTTTCCCAGTTACTTGATCCATTTTACTTTATAACATCTTTGTTTCTCATACGAATCTCACTCACCGTGCCGTCATTTGCGTTTACACACGCAAATATTAATATTTTAACACATAATAATATGTGCAAATAATATTTCCCGTGTAATAATATTACAACGAATTATATTGTTACGTGTAATAATATTTTTAACGTGTTTTACACGTAATATTTCGTGTAACATAGCAAACTTTAACATTTTTTTAGAACTTTGAAACGGTCAATTTTAATTTAATTCGTCTTATTGTGCGCGTGTTAATGTAAAGAATAAACTGTAAAAATTCGAGATAATTCTCACATAAATAATTTAACGAAATAACTACCTTAATATGAAGCACGACTGCTAGAGGGTGCCACCTTAACGATTCCGCGGCTCTTATTTGTCGTTCTGTCACTAGATGGAACTACATATCGCTAAATTGAAACTTGTCTCTCGTAATATCTAGAGGAAAGATCTATAGTCTATAAGGTCTATACAACAAGGTAGACTAGTAATATAAGAGCGATTTCTACTAAACTAATAGGCTCCATCAGTTGGTTCCACCATATGTTTATTGTCCTTGGAATGAAATCTATTTAGTAAAAAATTCATTGTTAGATAGTGCCTGTAGACGTCGCAAAAAGATTTTTTTAATTGGACTGTCAAGTTCTACTGGAGTGAGTCTTTAAACCATGTCTATTATAAAATAAATAATATTTAGCAATAAATTCTACATGCAATGATACAGTAAAATCGTATTAATAGGAAAAACCGGGATATGTTTAATTGTTTAATTGTAGAAGTTAGATTTGGTGATCGCGAAACCCCAAGGCGTATGGCTCGTAATATGCGATACGCAGAGTATTTCTATTATGAAATAGTTTATTCTCCTGTAAACAGGTTATCTGATAGCATATTTAGCATATTTATGAATGCCCTGAAAAGAAAAATACACATTTTGTCCATTTATTATTTTTTGTAGAGTCTGACTATAAAGAAGGATACATTTGGAGTATAACGGTATAAGTGGGTGTGGACTATTGCAAATCAGTTTCTCTATTACATTTGTATTTCGAAAACATTTAATAGTTTCCTAGTTGCAACACTTGATGTAGTTTGCACTTTATTAGCAATTTCCCGCAGTATTTCATATTAGGGCCACACTTTTTCGATTTCTCATAAAGCTCTCTTTTTATATTTTTCTAATTTTCAGAAAAAAATATAATTGCATTAAATTTTACATTTTAGCAACTTAAAGCTTATTAAATTTCCTTCGAAATAAGTTATTATATTTTTTAATTGTGCCTATAGATTTCCGGTAATTACAAAAATGAGCTCTGTATCTCGTACATGGAGACTCTCTAATGATTTTATGAACTGTAATAGATTTGTATGAACTGTAAAAAAATATAAAATTTATATTAAATTTGGCAGCAATAGGCTTGCTATTGCTGTCAAAGATATTGGTAAACAAGTACAATAAGATAGAATTAAAAAATATACTTGTCTTACTCTAATTTGTTGCACGAAAGTTCACCAGTGCAGCAGTAGGAAACAATTCTAAAATGAACTCTCCCAGCGCTATGCGTTAATCTTCAATAAAACAGAGTATTCGATTCGCGATCAGGTCGGTTCCCTCATGAGGTGGTATATTAAAATCAGTTCGTGCGCGATATAGTTGTGAACACACATATGTATTATTCGTAGCAGAGAGAGAGCGAATATAGTATAAATATATAAAATCAGAATATAGTGTAATAATTTATCTCTACGCGCGTTTACTCTACACAATTCGAATTATTGTCTATCTGAATATTAGCTAATGTTTTTAATTTTTTATACATATGATTAAAATATCACAAAAATCTTGAACACCGGACAGTGAACACCGAATCTGACCACACGCTAGTGTTCGTTATACAGAAAAGAAACGAACGACGTCAAAAGACGAACGTAAATGTCCGAATGTTCGCGTTCGCGGTTCGTTCGACGTTCGTTCGTGGATGTATACCCAGCTTTAGACTAACAATGAGCAAATGATCGCGAACAAATGCGAAGGGTTCGGCTTTGATCGCGCTCGTTTGTTTAGTTTGAATTTGGCTTAATATTACTGGAATGACAACTTCGATGCAGATTCAAATTCTCTTTATCGCGATAGAAAAATCGTGTCCCAATCGCAAGATTGAACTTGCAGCTCGCAAGACTCGTCTGAATCGTAGGCACGTACATTATACGTTAAACTCGCGAACGCTCGCGGTGCGAGACGCAACCGATCGCGCCAGAGGCAATATCAAGTTGTTTCTCTCGCGCGGTAACGGCGCGGCCATAAATGACACCCATCACATGAAATACACCGAGGGGAGAAGCAATTAATAGCTAATCTAATCGACGGAGCAATTACATTCACATATTATTATTACTCAGATCAGAAATAATCGATCGCCACTGTCGCGCTATGAAAAATATTATTGCCTCGCGAAACGCTTGTGCGAGTATCTGCGATTACGTGCGCGCGCGAGCACATGGGACATGGGTAGAAAAAATGAAGAGGAGAGAAAGCGCGTGAGAGGAAGATGAAAAAGTTGCAACGCGAAGACAGGCTCTGTTATCTGTTAGTTTCATCATGAATGCATAACGTACGCGAAATGCAGCATTTTTATATTTTTCTTTAGTATCATTACACAGAGTTGAAAAGTTTACGTTAAATTTAATAGATATTACGTCCCACAAGCAACTACACACATTTTTGCGTTAATTTAATTTATTATATGGATATGTTAAATGGTGATGTGTTATTACTATATTAATATTTTAACGCAAATGAAATACAAACCTCAAAGTAATTTTAAATAAATTTTGTGTAGAATCAACAAATTTTTAATAATAAATTAACTACGAAAAAGTTATTCTTACATTTTACAGTTGCAACAAGTCAAACTTTTAATGACTTATTACTTTTATAAAATAAAATCAACATTTCATACATTTTAATATATAAATCCTATCAATAATAACACGGAACATATCGTGTAAAATTAAAAATAGATGCACGTTGCGCTGTTTTTACACTTTTTTTCAGTTCTTTTAATAATTTCACATTTGAGCTTAATTAACACAACAGCAATATATTCAATTAAAACACGAATTTGTTAAATATTTAACACAACAATTTTAACAAGAGAATATAAATTTTCCAACTATACGTAGTTAAAATAGTTAAACAAAGGAAACGTGTGTTTGCTTGATGTTTTACTGAAAATAATTCAGTCGTTATGAGAGAGTGCCGTTGAGTCCATCTCAGTATCGGTTTCCAAGATCTCTATATAGGATGCGGCGCGCTGGAAGATCTTTTGAAAAATCGAGAAAAATCCGTACACGGATTCTCGTCTATCAGTATCGCGTTCCGAGAGATGCGTCCGGATGTGGTTGGGTCGGACTTGCAATTCTGTCGTGACGTCCACGTGTAGAACCAGACTGTCGAGACCTGAAGAGTTGCCTGTGCGCGCGCTATGCCTCTGTAACTCAATTACCGCGCATTGTGTTCGTGCCTGTGGGTACCACAGCACACGATTTACCGTGTGCACGACGACGACGACGACGACGATGACGGCGATGGTAACGCGAAGGTGCTGCACAACTTGCCCGCAGTATAGATCAAGGCCGTAACTCCTGCGTGCGCGGAGTAAAGTGGTTGATATCAAGCATTCAAAGTCCCAGAGCCAGACCTCCTTTGTCGCTGATTGAAGAACGTGGCGTCGCTAGAATTTCAGGGTTTACTTACATACGACCCGAGAAAACGCGAGCATAGGGACGGCAGACCGTATCGAATTTCTATAATATAAGTTCGCCAAGCGGAGGCACAATTGCACAGTCGTATTTCTCTTCAAAGGTGGTTAATTTAAAATCTAACTTCGCTGGAAAAGGCATCGTGTCGGTTAAAGATTTCCGATCTGGCGAAATTTACTTTTTAATCGTCCGCAACTCCGTTACGACGAAAAACGTTTCTTGAACGAAACGGGACGCGGGAGAAACTACGGCTGGGATCGTTCGGGCGTGCGTTATCTGTAGGCCAAACCCGCGGACAAGGGTCGTAGGATTCCCAGACCAGTTCGTGGGAAGGCGGCAACGATACCCTCGTCCAAAATAAAGAACTTAATTATCGAAATAACGTGTGTCGCGATGCCCCAATACCCCGGCTTACGTGTTAGCTCGACCTCTATCTTGTCCTACACTTCCACATTCGAGGATCTCGCATGACCTCGGATCTAATTTATTCTATTCCCTGTCAGGGTTGGCAAAATTCTACATTTTTTTATGAAGTCTAGGCCAGTGGTAAAAACTGGTATTTTCCGGAAATAATCGGCAAAAATTGGTCTTCTCTATTAAAACCGATAAAATAAGTAGAAACATTTAGAAAGCACTGCAAAAGAGCATTGTTTCCCGCATAAACTAACAATTAATATAAAATTTAGTATCTCCAAAGTTCTCGTTTGAAAAATATGTATTAATTTCAATGAAACAATTTTTTTTAATTAAAAATCTTATTATATTGAGAAAATTAACACAAGCTCGTCTTTATTAAAAATCAAGAAAATATCAAGGATAAAAGACCAATAATATTACGAGTGGTAAAGCTAAATTTTAATGTATTGTAAAATTACCGCTCGTAATATTAT